TTTCAGGGTGGCCGGGAAGTAAAGCTGGCATTGACGTTCTTTCAGGGTGGCTGGGAAGTAAAGCTGGCATTGACGTTGTTTCAGGGTGGCCTGTAACATGATGGTGAAGAAGAACCAGAACAAGAAGCACTATGGGACCGTCAGGACATTGCTCCTGAATTGTGTCAAGTTGCTGGACAAAGGCAGACATCCTCAGGTAAGCTTAACATTTGTATCTTCTCTAAACATCCTTGTAGTTTTGTTATGAAATACTGAAAAAGCACATGTGGGGGGGGGGATTATAAGATTGGTCTGCGGGCAGGATGACCACTGACCACGGAGGGCTCTCTGGCATTTGGAATATGCCTCATCTGAATTGGCACATGCAGGAATTTTGAAATGTGTGTGAGTGTTACATAGTACGTTTCGAACTGATGGCTTCGTGTATGTATTCGATTCAAGGAGCCCTACTGGCCTGGTGCTTTAGCTCTTGCTACTAACGGAAAGGTGGGCAGTGTGAACCCACCAGCCAGCCACTCTGCAGGAGGAAGACGTGGCAATCTGCTTTGGTGTAGATGACCGCAGCCTTGTGTCTGCCCTGGCCTCCAGGGTGGCTGCGAGTTTAAATTGGCTCCACAACAATGGTGGGATATTGGCTTATTAATTCATCTCAGCAGATAAGCACTTTTTTTTTAACATGTCTCCTGGTGTAGTGCTGTGAATCAGCACTGGCGTGTGAACCACAAGGTCAGCAGTTCAAACCCACCAGCTACTCTGAGGAAGCCCTATAACAGGGTTGCTATGAGTCGGAACCGACTCTGTGCCACTTACCAACAACAACAGACTAGAAGTTTTTGACTGGCATTGGACAATGCTGGTGGAGAAGTGGGACAGTGAGGTAACCCTAGCAGAGCTGTGCTGCCTCTCTTACTGTTAGAAGGTGGGGGAGGTGAGAATCTCCTCAGAGATCCACTTGCATGAATTGACCTGGTCACTTTGTACAGGTGAGGGTTCTGAGTGTCCGCATTTCAGTATGTAACAGCACTGTTACGTCACCTGCACACTCCCCACAGTCTCACCCTCAACTGGAGTCCTGGTGTGGCAGGCACTGCCGGTTAAACACTGGACTGCTAACTGCGAGGTTGATGGTTCAGACCTATAGGCCGCTCCTTAGAGACCCTCGCCAAGGTCACTGAGTCAGAGCCAACTCGGTAGCATGTAACAGCAGTACTGCCCACCGGTGTCCGAGTCTGACAGCTTTGTTTTTCAGTGTAAGGCTGATTGTTTGTATGCTGTTTAAATCAGAAAGGGTATGTAATATAGACATTTCTTTTTTTAAAGATCCAACTTAAATCGTCCAATTTAGTTGGGGGGGCTCTGGTAGCGTAGTGGTTACGAATCAGGCTGCGAACTGCAAGGTAAGCAGTTCGAAACTGCCAGCTGCTCCGTGGGAGAAAGATAAGGCGATTTACATCCTCAGAAACCCTGTACAGGGTCGCTATGAGTCAGAACCGACTCCATGGCACTTAACAACAACAATAGGTTATCCTAGGGACCAAATCTAGAGGAAAAACCGGTTTGAAGAAAAGTGGCCGATAATTTCTGACTTATCTTCTGTGATTGAGGTTTAGTGGAACATGAATGGCTTATGTGCAAGTTAGAGAATGATGCTAAGCATATTGCATGCCGTTAAGAATCGCTTAATAACAAATGGTAATGTGCTCATTTGAAGAGCTGGCGGGATGGACTTTTCCCTCATTACAGAGCCATAGATGATGTCGTGGGTAATAGTCACCGCAGGATGATGCAGAGCCCTGGCTGAGCGGTTCTTTAGTGCTCAGTTGCTCACCGGTAGAAACCACCAGCCTCTCCATGGAAGAAAGAGGGGCTACCTGCTCCCCTGAAGATTTGCAGTCTGTCCTGTAGGGCAGCTGTGTGTGGCTGGGATTGATGACAAGAGTCTCTGGTGGCGCTGTCGTTAGGGAAGTGTTCGGCTGGTAACCAAAAGGCAGTTGGTTAGGACCCACCAACCACTCTGTGAGGACAATGAGGATGTCTTCTGTAAAGACTGTTATGTGCTGTCAAGTCGGTTCTGACTCCGAGGGACCCTGTAGAGGGTCTCCAAGGAGCAGCCTGTGGGTTTACGCCACTGACCTTGTGGTTCGCTGTCCAGCGCTGAGCCAGCCCGATGGGGGGAGCACTTCTACTTGGTCACTGACCTGACCACATCAGGTTCGGTTAACAGTGAACTTGGTTGTAAAGAGAACACTGGCTTGTTCATGTGGGGTGGAATGGGGTCACTTACGTCCTGCCACACTTAGAGCTCGGGTTTGTCCCCAGGCTGGCGCAGCTGCCAGCCTTTTCAGAGATGGATGACGGGATGGAGTTCCTCTCCGGAGGACTCAGGTTGGATAAGGCACCCATATTTCTCCTTCATTTTCTTTCCCTAAGATCATTGCTTCAGCCAATTACATGCTGTCAGAACTTTTCCAATTGGACGAACCTAAGAAAGAAGAAAGCTCCGAATCCCCTCTCACTGAGAACTCTGATGAGAGCTATAGTGAGGAAGAGGAGGAGGAAGCAGATAGCGACGAAAACGGTTCCTACAGCGCCAGCTCAGACCCCGCGGAGGACAACAAGGCGGTGGCCGTCATTAAGTCTGTTGGAGAACTGTCGGTGCCAGAAAAGTACAAGTCCATCCATCAGATCAGAGTGAGCCTGTTAGGACGCTGGTTCAGTGTACAGACAATGTCCAGAGGCATATGTGGCCGCGTTCCCATAGGTGTTCTTATATCAGAAAAGCAGCTCTCCTGTTGTTTGTTATATGCCTCCTGTAGTTTCCAAGTCCCTACACCCCCAGAGGGAACAGGTAGCCAGTGGGGCTCCAGGGTGTATCACAGTTCCCACAGGGCATTGTCCTTCGCTTTCACCTCCTTCCTTCCCTTCTGACTTGATTCACACACCCAACAGCTGAGCCACCCCTCACTCCCAGCCCAGGACAGCACCTGCTATGTCTCCTCTGCTCCTGCTGTGGGCAGGGGTGGTGCTAACCAGACCCAGGGCATTTTCAGGCTCTGGGCATTGGCAGCTACACTCCTGGCACCCACACCCTCGGTTCCCAGGGCCACCCCTCTGTGCCCCCCACCTGGCATCTAGATGTGTTCAGAGTCCTGCTTCGAGTGCTGGCAGCAACCCAAGGCAGCCAGCCTGGCCTCCTTGACCTGGTGGACACAGCTCTTGGGCTTTTACTAGCAGCTTCCAGAGATCTAGCTGCAGTTTGTTGAGGAACTGTCTGGATGTGAGATGGTATCTGCACAACATCCAGATTACACCATGTCCTGTTTCCCAGAACGGATCTTGGACGTTAAGTGAAGTCTGCCCATAGTTGTTAGCCTGCCTGCTCCAGAATTTTACAAGGCCTCACTTTATGATTCTAGAACGTGTGTGTGTATTTTCTCCAGGTCTGCCTGGTGGCCCGACATGTAAAGCAGATGTCAGTATAGTCATTGACACATGGGTGACAGGGAGCTGTGTCAGAGTCTGATGGGACTGTGGTACATTACCCGTGCATTGCAGTGACCTTGGTCATGGTGGCCATGGACCTGCCCCTACCCTGGTCAGGGCCAGAGAGGCTCCACCACCCTCTACCCTTCAGGTTTCTCATGGTGTGGGCTGTGTTGACCCTCCTGTCATCAGTCTTTCTGAAGACGATAGAAGTATGTCTCTGTTTTCCAAAGTACCATTACTGTCCAGTCCTGCCTCTTTGGGCTTAGATCCAGATCAGCTGTAAGGAGTTGTGACTGGTCCCTGTGGCTTTAATTTAGAGGTGTTGTGTTGAAGTAAATCTTTGAGAGGACATCTCTCTCTTACCTGTATAGTACCCGTCTGGCTGACTTTCTCTTCCTTTGTTGTCAGACCACTGGGTACCTACACACAGACACTGTTAACTGTGTGTGCACTGTCAGACCACTGGGACCACCTACACACGGACATTGTTAGCTCTGTGTACAGTCAGACCACTGGGACCACCTACACACTGAGACTTTTAGCTGTGTGTACAGCCAGACCACTAGGACCACCTACACATAGACTCTGTTAGCTGTGTGTACAGTCAGACCACTGGGGCCACCTACACATGGACACTGTTAGCTGTGTGTACAGTCAGACCACTGGGGCCACCTACACACGGACACTGTTAGCTCTGTGTACAGCCAGACCACTAGGACCACCTACACATAGATTCTGTTAGCTGTGTGTACAGTCAGACCACTAGGACCACCTACACATGGACACTGTTAGCTCTGTGTACAGTCAGACCACTGGGGCCACCTACACACGGACACTGTTAGCTCTGTGTGTACAGTCAGACCACTGGGACACTGTGAACTGGCCTTGTTAGCTGTAGTTGTCGTGTCCATTCTAGCTAGGAGCTAAGTGGACAGCATACATCAGGTGTGCACTCAGCCAAACTCAACCTTCTCACTGTCCCTACAGAAGACTGTAATAAATCTTTAGTACTTAAAGCAGTGTACATACTGGGAGACTTCTTTGGGGAAGGCAGGTTTGATGATGCTGATAATAACTTGATCTGCAACAAAGACAGAATATCAGCCTTGCTGTTCAGCTCCCTGTAAAGCAGATTTCTAAATTACGGGTTTACACCGCATATCTTGTATGGCTTTGTAGGATCAGCACCAGACTGCAAGGTCGATTTGAACTGCAAGGCTGATGGTTCAAACTCACTAGCACCTTAGCAGAAATCCTATATGGGGTTGCTATGAGTCCGAACAACTCGACAGCACTTAACAACAATCACAAACCAAAACCTGATGCTGCCGAGTCGATGCGGACTGATGGAAGCCCATGTGCTGAGCTGTCGCCATTGCGCGTTGAGGGCGGGTTGAGGGCTGGGAAGGCGGGTATCTGGGTGGTATGTTAATTGCCTTCTGTTTGTTTATGAAGCCCAGCTGTGCGTTTCCAGTTTGCCATGACACAGAGGAGCGCTGCAGACTGGTCCTCAGCTACGTCCTTGAGGTAAGGGGCCTTCCTCACAGAGTGGTCTTCGCAAAACCTTCCCAGCCGTTTCTCGGCGTCCATTTGGAGGGTTATCTTCTGGAAGTTTTTTGTTTTTTTTTAAAGCGTCAAGTGAAGTTCTTCCATATATTTCAGCTCGATCAAACTTAGTTTGTCTGTTTTCAAAACCTAAGTTCTCCTAAGTGTGTTCAGTTCAAACTGACCTTACAGTCCAGCACATTAACCCACAGGGCCACACCAGGACTGCAAGGTCGGTGGTTCTAGCCCACCAACTGCTCCTCAGAAACCCAATATAGAGTCGCTATGAGTCAGAACTGACTCGGCAGCACATGACAACAAGAAGTGTGTCCAGTAACCCAGGAACTGGCCTCTGTTTAGTTTTCCATTGGCCTTTGGTTAGGTGAGTAGCCAGTGTGTCTCCTCCTTTTTAAGGGTTTGAAATCTGTGGACAGCAGCATCAAAAAGGAAAGTGACCTTCCTGCAGCTGACCCCAACACCCCAATCCCACTGAAATACGAAGATGAGGCCACCCGAGGGGGCCCTGAGGGCCTGGAGAAGCAGACAGCCTTGTTTCTGGACAAAAGTAAGTTGGGTTGATGGGCCTTCAGCAGAATAATCTGTGGGTTCTCCATCCCCTCTATGAGGGCATTCATCAAAAGGAGTTTAGAGAAGGTGTGTGGGAATGGGAAGTTGGGGCAGCTGTCTCTTCTTTTTAAATATAAAAGAAAGCAAGATAATGCCATCACCACCGAGATTTCTAGCTGAGACATAAGAACTCTGGTTTTCCTTGTTATCCCAGGCTGTGAGGAGCCCCTCCAGCCTGGCAGAGTGTCCCCAGGAAAAGGCATCTCCTGAAAGCAGGCGTGCCCGGAGCTCAGTGTCAGAGCCACGCTGCCCGCCTGGGGACCACGGCTTTGCTCAGACAAGTTGTTCCACCTCTCTGAGCCTAAAACAAGACAATAATAGTCCTGCTTCAAGATTGTGATGAAGACTGAGTTAATACATTTAATGTTCTGTGTAAGCACCATCTAGACATGACGTTTATGAATTGCATGTCATTTTTTCTTCAGGAACATCACTTCCTGAAGAACCTGTGGGCTTTGAAGTAAAAGTCTTGGGTTTCTTGATTATTTTCATCTAAATTGTTTTTCCAACATTGTCTGCCCCTCATTTTTAGTCTTAAATCAGTTTCACTTATTTAAAGAAAATATTTGAAAAGTTGTATGTTTGAAATGCTACCAGGTGCTATTGGGGGACTCCGCCCATAAATAGAGATTGTTGGGGCTGGAGAGAGGTGTTTTTCTAGGACTGTGGACTGTTTTTTCTGCCTCTTCTTCCCCACCCCCTGTTGGAAGTTGTGCTGAAGTTGACAGTCTCTGTCCCTTCTCAGGATGACTCGATTCTTTCCCCTGTTTCAGACTGTGCGTGTGTATTACAGGGTCACAAACACCCATTTGTGAGCAAGAACTTCACCTGACTCCTCTTCAGTTTTGTCAGGGTGCCTCACTCACAGAAAAAGTAACTGTGCCCATTGGAATTTGAGAAATTAGACTCACCCAGCATGAGTCTAAGAAGTCTAGGAAAGCCCGAGCTGCTAGAAAGTGAGGACTCTCCTAACAAGGGATGAGGCTGTGTACCCGCAGCATGTACTGAGTGTATTCTGTGGTTGGCCCGTCTCCGCCTCATCCGTGACGACCCCCAGGACAGAGACCATACAGCATCATGGTACTGTTTCCCATGTTGTGTGGTGCTTGGCGCAAAATCCATCCAGGTAGCGATGGGCTGGACTGTAGAGAAAAGAGTGCGGAGCTCGGGGGAAGGGACAAGGATTCAGGGAACAAGTAGCAGCACCTCTCTGAGGATGGAGCACAGGAAGTGGGGTGGCTGCAGCTCAGGGAACAGGGAAAGGTGCTGGGACACGGTGTGCTGAGAGAAGCTGCTATTTGTGATTTAACCTGTGTTAGGAAGGCACACACAGTCCCAGACCGCAGACAGGCGGCCTGACTCGTGAGTGTCTGTCCCCGAGAGCCAAGGCAGGCAGACCTCAGAGCAGTGGCTGGAACTCCTGTGGGTTTGCTTCGTTGCCTTTAAGTAGCAAAGCCCTGTACTTGCCAGTCTTGTAGCAACCGTCCTAGGTGTTGGGGCATTTTCATCAAGAAGCAGAACTTCTATTTTGTGGGGAGACCTATGTTCCAATAAAATGTGATGCTCTTTTCCCGTGTCCTAGTGGGCTCCCTTCAGAAGGGGAACTACTCCAGTCAGTCCAGAGTGATCCCCGGCTCTTGGCAACATAAAATGAAGCTTCAACTGATCCTCAAGTCGTCAAAGGCCTACTATGTCTTGTCTGATGCGGCTATGAGTCTTCAGAAATACGGAAGAGCATTACGCTACATCAAATTGGCTTTGCAGAGCCACGGTAAGGCACCATGACTATAGACCCACTCGCTTTGCGGAGCCTGCGTGGCCATGTCGGAGCGGGGGACACAGCTTGAAAGCTGCTTTGTCCGACTCAAGTGTGCCATCTCATGTTTTAGTTTCTTCTTTGAGTGCTATAATATTTCTGCATTCACATATCCCAAGCCACGCGTGATCTCTGGTGTGAATTCCCAGGAGACACAGTGGCCGCCTCTTGCTGTTGGCTGTGTTGGTGGTCTTTGAAGCGGTCTTGTTTTCCCTCCCTACAGACACTTACTGCTGCCTCTGCACCAACATGCTGTCTGAGGTGCTGCTTTTCCTGTCTCAGTACCTGACTCTCTGTGGCGACATCCAGTTGATGCTGGCCCAGAACGCAAGCAACAGAGCTGCGCACCTTGAGGAGTTCAATTACCAGACGAAAGAGGACCAGGAGATCCTGCACAGCCTGCACAAAGAGTCCACTTGTCAAGGTACGTGGGCACCGGACCCACCTGTTCAGGCCAGAGGCCTCCCTCCACCTCAGAAGGGGCAGGCAGCTTCAGTGCTCGGGTGGCTGCTGCTGTTCAGTGCATCAAGTCAGTTCCAGCTCATAGCAAACCTGCACTGGGTTTCCGAGGAGCAGCTGGTGGGTTCGAACTGCCAATGTGGTGGTTCACCGTCTAGTGCTCATCCTACAGCGCCAACCAGGAGTCCCTAGTCCTAACCACAACCATGACACTACATGAAGTCCTAGCCAGAGCCTAGACCTAGTCTTAACCCTAACTCCTTATTGCTACCAGCCCCACAATAAACAAAAGATACAGGAAATGAAGGACAGAAAAAGGTGGAAATAAAGAATATAGTGCAAAAGACAGGGATATGGTGAGAAGGTTTAACGATTGTGTTTTAAAAATAAAAGGTTTGTTGTCTTCATTAACTCTTAATCTGTCCATACCGCATTGTGGTTTCTTATGTGTTTTAAATATTTAGATTCTTCCACCTGTATTCACTGAACATTGGTATGTTTCTATGACATGGCATCTTGTGACTTCGTTTCGTCCTAAACATAACCAGACTAGTGTCGACACTGGGTACTGAGAAGACCCACACTCACTGCTGTGTCTCCTTCTTCCCAAGGGTTCGCCTGGGCCACCGACTTATCCACAGACTTGGAAAGCCAGCTGTCAGTCAGCTGTAAATGTTACGAGGCTGCAAATGAAATCTTAGAGTTTAGTGACTTAAAAGGCCAAAATCCAGAACACTACGTACAAGTATTGAAGAGGATGGGCAACATTAGAAATGAAATCGGAGTGTTTTATATGAACCAAGCTGCTGTATTCCAGAGTGAGCGAGTCGGTGAGTACGGCTTTAAGTTCGCTTCACCACCAGCCCGAGAATGTGAGACGGGCTTTCCAGTACTCGGCAGGACCAGCTTACGTCCTAAAGGGGGGCTGTGGGTTATTAACTTCTCCAGAAATAAGTTGAACTATCATTTCCGTGTCCCCCTTCCCCCATTGCCTCTATCAAATCCAGTCAGAAGCCATTGGCTATGTGGCCAGCTATGGTGTGGTCTTGTATCTTGTTGGGACACAACGTCCATGGTCAAGTACAGGTGCGGTGGAGGAAAGCATGGGAAGGGTATGTGTTGTGGTGTGGGACTCTGGGATGCACTCAGGAGCCAGGTGTAGTTGGAACAGGGCAGCGTGTGATGTTGGAAACTCCCGACTAATGGGAGCCTGAGGCTTGGCTCCAGTGGCTGATTAGAGAAATCGTCTGTGCTCTGTGTGAGCCACACAGGGTGATGGGTTCCTTTGGCCCATGTTGAGTTTGAGACCCGGATCGGCTTTCTGTGAAATGCTCTCATCTAGTTAGAGATGTGTGCTTGGGGCTGTTGGGGCTGGGCACCAAGAGAATGACTGAGATGTAATGACCGAACACCTGCCTGAGAAAAGAAAAGGCTGACACAGGCCTGAGGAGAGCCCGAAGCCCAGCCTGGGGGTGCCTGTTGATGTATGAATGGAGCCAACTAGGAACACAAACATTGTCCCCAGCGGGCTCATAGCTACCGGGGACAGGTACATTGAAGGGGTGCCTAGAGGAGGAAGGTGAGATGTGATCCTAAACGTACAAGCATTCGAGAAAACCAACTGAATCTCTTCCAAGCACGTGTTTTTAATCTTTACCAAAAAAACCAGTCCTTTTTGTAGAGGTTTTTGCTTGCTGGCCTTCATGTCATGGCTGGTGTGGAGGGGTGACCACCATGCTACCTCTATGCCAAGGATGGACAGGTGGGCTCCACACTGACCTGTGCTGATAGGATTGTTCTCTTTCTTTCTTGTGTTTTTGGCAGTAAGCAGAAGCGTGTCTGCTGCAGAGCAGCAGCTGTGGAAGAGAAGCTTTTCTTGTTTTGAGAAAGGGATTCACAACTTCGAATCCATCGACGATGCCACCAACGCTGCCCTTTTGTTGTGCAACACGGGAAGGCTCATGCGGATCTGTGCACAGGCGCACTGCGGGGCCGGGGGCGGATTGACTCGCGAGTTTTCACCGGAAGAGGGCTTGTACTATAATAAGGTAACATGGAGGACGGTCATTCAACTTTGTCATAATGCCTTAGAGTTCTTACTGTAAAACTAACAGGAGTAAAATGCGGGGGGAGGTGATAGGAGTCGCCACATCATTAGGACATTTAGAAAGTGGCCTAAAAACAGTCAGAATTGAATTGGTAAGGAAAGAGGGACTGTTGTGTACATTGTGTTGTTGTAACCCAAGTGCATACCACATGAATTAAGGGTGGCCATGGGTGATTGGAAGCTGGAAGAGGATTAGAAGTCCGAGGGGCTTCTGTGCTGAGGGGCTGGCTGGGGAAGGCTGCTCCCAACCTGAGGGAACAATAGATCATTTCCATCTATTGTCAATAACTTTTGTTTTAAAATACTGACATTACTCTCTTCCTTTCCTCTTACTATTGTCATTTTGTGAAGTCTCCCACAATTCCTCGGTTTTTATGACATCGTAATTTTAGTGAATGGCATGTCCTTTGTTCTGCTCACAGGCTGTTGACTACTACTTGAAAGCTCTCAGGTCACTGGGTACACGAGACCGACACCCTGCCGTTTGGGACTCAGTGAACTGGGAATTGTCCACAACTTACTTCACGATGGCGACTCTGCAGCAGGATTACGCCCCCCTGTCTAGGAAGGCTCAGGAGCAGGTGCGGGGAGGGGCTACACACCCATCTTCTCCCAGCCCGATTCCTAGTCTTAGTACCTTTCTCAAACACTTAGCGTTAAGGTGCTGGGCCTTGTCTCCCCAAACCCCACAGATTGAAAAAGAGGTCAGCGAGGCAATGCTCAAGTCTCTTAAGTATTGTGACGCAGACTCCGCCTCGGCTCGGCAGCCGCTGTGTCAGTACCGGGCCGCCACCATCCACCACAGGCTGGCTTCCATGTACCACAGCTGTTTGCGGAACCAGGTAAGTGGCCCTGCCGTGTGTGCTCTCCAGTCAGTGTCCACCTCAGCGTTGGCCACATTGAGGAGCTCCCTTAGAAAGCCCGTCTCCCACCGCTCCTTACCATGAGGTGGCACTTGTGAAGAAGGCATGCAGAAAACACGAGTCCCATACACGTGCATGTGTGCACTGACCGTGCGGAGCTGTCTCCCTCTCCACTCTCCCATTTTATTCTGGGCTCCTGTGGGTGATGCCTGGGCCTGTTTGGCCTCCCTAGCGGTGTGTTTACATTGTACCTGTGATCACACTGCATGCTCCTGGGGCTCGCTGCCTTTCACCTCCCCTGGTGGTTTTTAGAGGTGTTCGTGTTGGTAGGTGTCGCTGTGTGTTCTCAGCTGAGTAGGAGCCATTAGGTGAGCCTCTTGCAGTCTATCAGTTCTGTGATCGGTGTTTGGGTGGTTTCAGTTTGGCTGTTTACAGAGCATGTGCTGTGCCCTGTCGTGTGTCTGAATCCTGGGGTTCAAATGCATCGATTTCTAAGAGCTGGACGGGGGCCGCCTTCGGAGAGCTTGCTTTGATTCTTCCAGGAGCCTAGTGTTGTCTATTAGGACTGGTGGTTTTCTTACTTTTCTCTGTTTTTGATTCAGTTTCCTGACTACTTGCTATTCAGTCCCGTGGGCATGGGTTTACTTCCGGGTTGCTCTCCTGAGAGTAGGATTCTTTGAGGGCCAGCCTGACCTGGAGAGGATTTTTTTCCCATTTTGAGCTAACCCTGGGCTCTTTTACTTCTTGCCACGTGATTCTTCCCACCCCCTGCCCCCAACCAAACTTCAAGTTTATTAAGATGGACTAAGATCCTCAGGACAAAAACCAGTCCAAGGTGCCCAGACAGTTCAGTGGAGCGAAAAAATATTTTTGCTAAGAGGTGTTAGGCCAACTGACTACCCGCACGCCGTTGGCGTTCTACCTCACACCGTATCCTAAAATGATTTCACCTTGGACCCAAGGACCTAGATGAGTCATCAGAGCGCTGAAACAAAGCAGTGCCAGGCACCTGGAGAGGCAGTGAAGACTCTGGGAGTAGCTGTGCATCCCACGCCTTAGGATTGTGTTTTATTTTTGGCTCTAGGTTGGTGATGAACATCTTAGGAAGCAGCATCGGGTACTGGCAGACCTCCATTACAGCAAAGCTGTGAAGCTGTTTCAGCTCCTGAAAGACGCCCCCTGTGAAGTGCTTAGAGTGCAGTTAGAAAGAGTAGCTTTTGCAGAATTTCAGATGACCAGTAAGTCTTACTTTTTTATTTCTCAGATTGATATGCATTGGCTTAGTGTTGGATTGTCTTAGAGTGGGCAGAGCCTGTGGATCACTGTTGGATGTAAGTAATGGTTTTCCCTTTTAATTGTATCGATTGTTTCTTTGATTGAAGAAAACCTAACCTTGTACGCCATTGGTCTTAGACAGTGTTTGTCCTTTAGTGATTCATTAATGTCCCTCAGCAGGATGGCCTCCAGGTTCACCCATGGTGAGGAGGGCACAGATTCATCACTCTTAAGCGTGCCATACTATTCCATTGTGTGTCTGTACCACACTAAGCTTAACTGTTCTGTTGGTGGGCATTTAGTTGGTCTCCATCTTTTTGATATGTCTCTTGTAGACAGCATATTGAAGGATCTTGTTTTCTTATCCATTCTGCTCTCTGTCTCCCGACTGGTACATTTCATCCAAGCACATTAAGTGTAATGATCCACAGACATGAATTGGTTGCTCTCATTTTGCTGTTTTTCGTGTTTTTTTTGTTTTTGCTTTTGAAATGCTGCTGGTTTCTTTGTTCCACGTAATTTTTGGCACTGAATTCATTTTTTTGTGTGAGTTTTCTGTGCATTTTCATTTTTGTTGTGTTAATGTTTACAGTTTTATGGTTCTCCTTTTGTTTATTTTGGTGTGCAAGTGTATTCATTTTCTTTGAAGTTACCTTGTAATTTATTAGTATTTTTCCGTATTTAAAACAGTTTGCTGTATCTTGAAATCTACTTGGTGTCCTTGCCTTTTGGAATTTCTGTATCTGTACTATTCCCTTGACTTTATAAATTGATAGCTCTGGTTCTCCATTTTCAGTCTGGTAGGTTTGTTTTACTTTTAATACTTCCATATCTAGATCAAGTTCTGGATGGTGTTGTCATGTATACTAATCTCAGGTTGTTGTCTGTTGTTTTTCAGTCCAGAGAACACCCTTTAGTTTAGCATTCTTTGTAAAGTTGGTCTGGTCATTACAAAGACCTTTAATTTCTGTTTTTCAGGAAGCAATCTAATTTCACCATCGTATTTGAGGGACAGCTTTGCTAGATACGTGATTCTTGGTTGGGAATTTTTTTCTTTCAGAGTTTCGTATATGTCATCCCATGTCCCTCTTGCCTGCATGGTTTCTGATAAAAATCTGAGCGAAGTCTTATTGGTTCTCCTTTGTAGGTAACTTTTCGTTTTTCCTGAGCTGCTCTCAGGATTCTTTCCTTATCTTGGGTTTTGAAGAGTTTGATTTTGATATGTCTTGGTGATTTTCTTTGGGGGTTTATCCTGTTCAGGGTTTGTTCAGCTTCTTTAATGCTTCTTTCAAGAGGTTAGGGAAATTTTCTTCCAACAACTCTTGTGACAATTTTCTCTGTGTTTTTAATTGTTTCTTCCTGTTCTGGAATACCTCTAAGTTGTTCCTCTTCATGGTGTCCCAAATAACTTAGGGTTTCTTTGGGATTTTTTTCACTCTTTTTTCTGATTGTTTTAGCATACTCGAATCGAGAAATTTAGCTTCAAGCTCACTGATTTGGGCTTCCATTGCTTGGCATCTGCTCCTTTGCCCTTTCAGTGTGTTGTCCATTGCTGTGATCTTAGTATTAATCGACTAGATTTCGAATTGCAGGTTTTATGTCGTTTTAAAATTTGCGTTTATTTTGTGTGTTTATTCTTGTAGTGTTTTCCCGAATTCTTGTTAAATTTTCCTCTCTTCTCCTTGCTTTGCTCCATCTTTCTGTCAATCCTTTAAAGCTACCTAAATATCATTCTTTGGAATCCTTTTTCAGTCAGTTCGTTACCTTTTCTTCCTCAGACGTTTCTTGGCTCTGCATCTTGGTCATTTGTTTTAGCCGTTCTCTCTTGTTTCTTTGTGTGGGTTCAAATTGTCTGTTGTCTCCAGGGCATTGTGGGATTGTCGTATTTGTATTTAATTGATGATTGGATGTTACTGTGTTCTCAGGCTCTCACCATGGTCTCCTGTGGCTGTAGGGAAGCGTGTACACCTCAGTCTAGGGTTTGACTGCTGTTGGCTGCTGTCTGTCATTGATCAGTTGGTATAGGAGTGGTACTGGCTCTTGCCCACTGGGTGGAGCAGCAGAGGGGATAGTTGTGGCTGGGCTGTGTGGGCACAGGTGCTGTGTCTCCTGTTGGATGGAAAAGAGAAAACTACTCCCTTCCCCACCTCCACCCCCACATAAGAAAACAAAAGAGAATAAGCAAACAAGGAATCAACAATGAAGAGAGAAAGTTAAGTAAAAACAGATAAGAAAATAATGACTGTAAAGACAAAAGAGGGACAGGTAAATGGAGCTATAGACAAGAAAAATAAGAGAAAGTAAAAATAAATTTAAACCACACTTTAAAAACCTGGGAGAGGGAAGATGAAAAGAGAGTAGAGAGTAAGTAGTAAAGAAAGATCAAAAGGGAGAAAAAGAAGAGGGAAAATGGAAAACAGAAGGAAAAACAATAGCGGACATAGAGACAGAATAAAATTCAAGGGAATGGAAAGAGAGGAGGAGAAAGAACATATAAACAGAACCAGTGGAACAAGAGCCATGTGGCTGTTGGCCCTGGAGAGGAGAACATTCTGGGGGTGGGGGGGTGCCTGCGAGCCAAGGAGCTCAAGAGGCGGGTGTAGGCGGGGCTGTAACAGCAGAGTTTGTGGCCTGAGAGTGAGTGTTTATCGGCCTCGGTGTGACCTGTGCGGAGGACACTCTGTCCAGAAGTCCTTAATACAGGCTGTTGATGGTGCTGGTCTTTACTGTCAGGACCACCAGGCAGCTGGGGGCAGGGTGACTGGTTAAATGCTGGTCTGGTGGCTCTGCAGCCGGCCTGAATTGAGGCACAAAATGGCCCACTGAAGCTGCAGCACTGGCTCCCACCTCACAGTGGAATGGATGAGGGTGGGAGCAGGCCACACCTACACCGCTGGTCACCAAGGGAGCGTGGGGAAAGAGAAGAAATCTCACCTTTCCTGTAGCCTGCGTGCATCTCCTCTGCCAGGCCAAAGCTGCACAGAAGATGTTTGCATCACAACTGGCCAGCCAGTCATGAATCAGTCTCCTTCTCTCCCCGTCACTGCTCAACTTCTCCTCCCAGCAAAGCACTCAGTCCAGTGACTCTAACCTTTTCTCCAAGTTCTGGGTTCGAGGGTTTTTATCTGTGTCTGTTCATTTGGTGTCCCATATCTTTGTTGTAGAGGGTCTCTATAGTACATCTGCCAAGATCACCATCTTGCCGGAACTCAAGAATTGTCATTTTTGTGTTTTATTACTTTAGGTCAGAATAGCAATGTTGGAAAATTAAAAACCCTGTCTGGGGCCCTGGACCTAATGGTGAGGACGAAGCATGCATTCCGTCTCCTGAGGGAGGAGCTGACAGAGGAGTCTGAGCAGGTGAGTGCAGCGCAGAGAATCTGGAGGGCTGCTATTCGGAGTAGCATGTAAAATGCTGACTGTGTTGTGGGCATGTGCACATGCACACGAACATCTGTGTGTGCTCTGCCTGGAGCTGCATGAAAGCTCCAACAATATCTGGTCGACTTGCTGGGCGGGATTACTAAACTCTTCATTAGCCAATGTGAGGGTCACTCAAGTGCTGTTCCTGGATTCCAATTCATATACATGCACAGGATTGATTCCAAACAGAATGTGTTCAGACATGTCTCTGCCGTGGTCGCAGACAAGTAACAAACACAGTTATCTTCGTCTCATCTCAATAAAAGACAAGGTCCGCTGGAAGCAGTGGCTGCCGAACGCGTCTGCCGAGCCAGCTCAGTTTAAGGCAGAGACGTCTACTCAGAAGGTTGTGCTGACTGTTGGAATTCCCGAGGGTTCATGTTTCTTAAAAGACGCAGGGCCATCATGAGGGCTTATTAGGAAGAAATTTTAAAGAAAATTAAAACTGCACTGGTAAGAAATAGGCCAGGAGAGTTATGCCGAGGAATTTCCTGTTCATTTTTCAGGGGTAACAAGGACTGTCCACCTTACACCCCTGGTCTTGGCCCTGCAGGCTTCTTTTTGTTTCCAAAACTCAAAAGAGTATTGAAAAGGAGCACAGTTTGAGTGTCCCTTCAGGATGCCCAGATTCCTGTTTTAATGTGGAAATCAGAGTGCACAGTACTGTACGGAAGGGTATGAGAGACGGAAACACTGTTTACAGCATTATCTAGACCTGTTGATGTGACGTGCCATCAAGTCGGTTCCCACCCGCAGCGACCCTGTATAGGGTTTCTGAGAGCCGCTGGTGAGCTTGAACTGCTGACCTTGCAGTTCAAACGGCTTTGCAGTCTGACGCATTAACCCACAACGCCACATCAGGACTCCATATAGACCTAGATAGAGGATATATTGAGAAACAGTAGCTTCACATTTTGATTATTTTGTTTAATAAAGGTTTCCATGCTTTTGTCGCAATGCCTCTTAACCTACCTTTGTGTATGATTTCTGTATGTTGTTGGTAAGTGCCTTTGAGTCGGTTCTAACGCGTAGTGACCATTCCAGTGTATCATCCAACTATACTATGCCACACAAGAATCCGTGTGTATCCATGTAGTCTTGGCATGGCACTGTGGGTTAATGCACTGGACTACAAGGTCCGTGGTTCAAGCTCACCAGCCACTCCTCGGAAACCCTGTACAGGGTCACTATGGGTCAGAACCAACTTGACAGCACTTAATATATGTACGTACATATATGCACACATATGTTATTAAGTGCCAACCTTGTGGTCCAGCACATTAACCTGCATCACTATATATATGGAGTCCTGGTGTGGCGTTGTGGGTTAATGCGCCAGAGTGCAAAGCTGTTTGAACTGTAAGGTTGGCGGTTCGGGCTCACCAGCTGCTCCTCAGAAACCCTATACCAGGTCACTATGGAGTCGGTACTTCACAACAACTATATATATATATGTCTATGCATATATATGTGTGTGTATATAATATATATATACACACACATGAAATGTTTTGTGTGCTGCAACTTAATTTAAAAATTATATACATATGAGAAATTCTTTAAGCGTGCTGTGACTTATTGAAAATAAGCCCTGATTAGTAAGGGACTGAGGTTATAAACTCTTTGTTGACACATGATACGAGCAGACTCCTGGGGAGCCATTCTAGTTTGCCGGTGTTGCGCCCACACGCGCCCATCTGCTGTTCCTAAGAGTTCCCTCGTTCCCCGGCTGCTGCAGCCTGTCCCCTCCTGGCCCTTGTTAGATGGTTGTCAGGTCCTGTGTGACCAGTATCCATGCTGCTCCCTTAGCATCTCGCATTGGGGACTTAGGAACTCTTTGTACAGTGTTACGTTTGTAGACCTAACCACTGATGAGCTGTGAGGCATTCATGCCCTCAAAGTTTGTTTCCTGTTTGTTTGGTTTGGGCTTCTATGTTATTGGATTACTGAAACTTCAATCCTGTCACTTCAGTAGGAGATTTAAATTCCCAAGTGTCTTAGGTGAAATATATGTTTGGTTTTTTTGCTTCAGGGTGACGAAACTGCCCCCACTGCTGATTCCTCTCCTAGTATTAATCGAGACGAAGTGATCAAACTCCTCAGCATATTTGAATCTCGCTTGTCGTTCCTTCTCCTTCACTCCATCAAACTGCTCTCATCAACTAAGAAGAAAGCAAGGTAAATGAGATTCTTTCCTCCTGCAGAAAGCACACACATAACTTCAGTGGTGTAGGAAAAGGATGCGTCCCATTCTCTCGTGCTCCATGGATAATCCAGAGTGTTAAGTGGTGCTCTACCTAACTCTCGATCCAGCTGAGTTGTCTCCGTGGAGACCACCAAAGACGGAGATGAAACTAACAGTTAGCCTTGCTGCCTGAGGGCAAACATCCTACTGGTTGTTTCCAGAGAGAACTGAGTGACCCGGGCCAGAGGTTTTCAGAGTTGTAGCAACACCTCTGAACACTGGCTCAGGGGAGTCAGGACTGCCCCACTTGGGGCCGAGACAGGAGATGAAGAAAGTCAGATCTTCTAGAACCCCTGAAGTTCCAGAGGAGAATAGAAAGAGACCAGCAGAAAGCTTTAAACTTCTCATTGTTGTTAGGTGCCTAGAGTTGGCTCCAACTCACAGTGACCCTGTGCACAACAGAACACAACTCCGCCCAGTCCTGCGCCAGCCTCACAGCCTTTGTTAAGGTTGGGCTCATTGCTGTTGTCACTGTACTAGTCCTTCACTTTATTGCTGACCTTCCACTTTACCAAGGATGATGTTCTTCTCTAGGGATTGGCCTCTACTGATAACGTGTCCAAAATATGAGGAACAGTGTCTCAGTATCCTGACTTCCAAGGAACACTCTGGCTGTACTTCTTCCAACACAGATCTGTTTGTTCATTTGGCAGCCCATGGTCCTTTAATATTCTACTCCCACACCATAACTCAAATGCATCAATTTTTCAACAGTCACTGTTCAATTTTCACGTGCATATGAGGCTGTTGAAAATACTGTGGCTTGAGTAAGGTGCACCTTTGTCCTCAGAGTAACATCTTTGCTCTTGAACACTTTAAAATCTTGGGCAACAGATTTGACTGCTGCCTCTGTAAGTGTTGATGATGGAGCCAAGCAAAATGAAGTCTTGAACAACTTCAGTCTTTTTCCATTTATCATGTGATTTATTGTTTTATTTACATTGAGGTGCAATCCATAATGAAGAACTGGTCTTTAATCTTCATTTTTGCTTTCAGCAAGCAAGGTTGTATCATTTACATATTGCAAGTTGTTAATGAGTCTCACTCCAATTCTGATGCCACGTTCATCTTCATATAATCCAGCTTCTCAGATTATTTCCTCAGCATATGTTAAATGAAGTGCAAGAATACAACCCTGGAGCGTAGCTTTCCTGATTTTAAACAATTCAGTGTCCCCTTGTTCTAGTCAAACAACTTCCTCTTGATCTGTTCAGGTTCCTCAAGGGCGTAAATCAGTGCTGCAGAATACTTGTTGCCTGTTACTTGTCATGATCCACAGTCAGAAACCTACCATCTGACGTCAGCGTTGACAGCCCTCGTTCCACATCCTTATCTGAATCCAGCTGGATCCTCTGGCAGTTCCCGTCATTGTATTATTTTGGATTATCTTTAACAAAATTTTATATGAGCACAAGCAGTATTATCTGATGATTTCCACATTCTGTTGAGTCACCTCTCTTTGGAATGGGCACAGATATGGCTCTCTTCTAGTCAGTTGCCCAGGGAGTTGTCGTCCAGATATCTTGGCATAGATGAGTGAGTGCCTCCAGTGCTGCATCAGTTTGTTGAAGGATTTGTATTCCATGAAAAATTCCCGGAGCCTTGTTCTTAGCCAATGCCTTCAGTGCAACATGGACTTCTTCCTTCAGTACCACTGGCTCTTGCTCATATGCTGCCTCTTGAAATGGCTGAACAGTGACCACTTATTTTTGGTACGGTGACTCCTTCTATCTTCTTGTGATGCTTTCTGCACCATTGAATATTTTGCCCAAAGAATCCTGCAGTATTGCACTTGGAGGCATGAATAATTTTCTCTCAGTTCTTCAGTTTGAGAAGGCTGAGCGTGTTCTTCCCTTTTGGTTTTCGAACTCCAGGACTTTTTACCTGCTTACTTCTTGCATTTGCTTTAGCATCTCTACACTGGAGAACAAGTTGCAGAATCTCTTGTGACATCCCTTTTGGTCTTTTCCTTCCTTCTTGTCTTCTTAATGACCTTTTGCTTTCTTCCTGTATGGTACTCTTCTGGTCTTTGATAATTAGTATCTAATGCACAAATCTGTTCTTGATGATTTCTGAATTCAGGTGGGATATATTTAAGGTCATATTTTGGTTCTTGTGGACTTGTTTTGATATCTTCAGGTTCACCCTAAACTAGCATATGAGCAATTGATTGTTATAGATCTGCCCTCTGCCTTGTTTGGGATGATGATTTGGAGCTTTACTATTTCGTCCCACAGCTGTAGTCATTTTCATTTCTGTGTATGCCGTTTGGAATGGTCCTTGTGTAAATTGGTTCCACCTCACAGCGACCCTGCATAGGATTTCCAAGGAGTGGCTGTTGAGTTTGAACTGCCCACCGTGGGATTCAAACAAACCTTGCGGTCCAGTGCATTATCCTGTAGGGCTACACCAGGACTCCGTCCTTGTGTAGTTGTATTTGATGTTGTTTCATAAAAGTTAATTATATTGAATAAGTCCTTGGTCTTACAAAATTCTGTCATGTAATCTCCAGTATGGGTGTACCCTGTTGGTATTTAAAATACCGGTGACATGGGTTCCAGAATCACAGCAACATGCAAACCACAGTATGACAGATGAATGGTTGGAAATCGCTCAGTACTGATGTCGTCTGTGGTTACGCTGTTTGGTTGTTGTTATTTTGACATTATTTAACATGAAATACCAGAGTGTTGGATCTGGAGAGTAGTGTAAATCATGAGCCTTTTTTAAAATAGAGGTACAATCTGGCCATATTACAGTTTGGAAAAGACAGGAGTGAAAAAGAAAAACACTCACCCCTGCACCCCTAGTTACACGCATGTAGTTATCCTGTGCAAACAAGGGCACTTTAAACGTCCGTGGGAAGACCCCAGTGTCGTTTCAGTCCATGTTTGCACAGACTTCCTGCATCCCCCTCACATTTTCCTGCTTAGAGTCACAGCATGCGGAGTCCTGGTGTGGCGCTTAGGACAAGCTCTCAACCATGAGGTCAGTTTGAACCGCAAGTTTGGCAGTTCTAAACTCACCAGCTGCTCCTCGGAAGCCGTATGCAGGGTCGCTGTGAGTCAGAACTGACTCAACGGCACTAACCAACAGCAAATCATAGTGTGCAGCTTTTCTGTACAGTGACGTCCTCTCTGTGAGCTTTAACAAATGCGTGGGTTCTCATCTACCTCACAGCCAAGATGCACAGCACTCCCCTTCCTCTACAAATCCCCTCTTGCGGAACTTCTGTAAAGGCAACCCCTCCTCCACCCCCAGTTCCTTCAGCTCTCAGGGAGGAAGTCTCTGCCGTTTTCCATTCGCTATAGGTAAACATAGCTGTGGCCACCCTTTGTCACAATGAGGATGACCCCCCTTGTATTTCTGCTGACCTTGTGTCACGTGGTTTATTTTTACTGCATCAGTTGACCGTCTGGTTTTCTTTCAGTGACTAACTGTAAGCCCTGCTGGTACAGTCCTTGGGACAGTCCTGTACAGGGGTATGAACGGGAGGGGTTCCCCCACATGCACCTGCTCACGGTCACAGCAACGTGCTCTGTGTCTGCCCAGGTCTCAACTGCCCTTAGACCCCAGACTAGAGACTTGCCCAGAAGCCACTGTGAAAAGGTTCAAGAAAAGGCCAGAACTGGAATTTGTCCTGGGAGTGCAGTGGCTCTGTATGGTAAGCGCTGGACCGTGAGCCACAAGGTTGATGGTTTGAACCCACCAGCTACTCCAAGGGTGTAAGATGAGGCTTTCTATTCCCGCAAAGATGCACAGCCTTGGAAATGCTATAGGGAGTCACTGAGCCCTCCTTGAAGCTGTGCAGACGTTCTCGCCCTCCTGTTCTGAGCTGTTCCACTGTAGTAGCATCAGCTCCCTGCACCATAAGGGTCCCAGGTCATCTTTCCCATTGTTGTTGTCAATTTGATCCCACATAGATAGTTCTTAAAAGAGCATGTGCTCAAGAAAGACACTTATCATTTAAGCTAAACTACCGTTTGGTAGACCGTAGAAGAATTGATGCTTTTGAGTTATGGTGTTGGAGGAGAATATTGAAAGTGCCGTGGGCTGACAAAAGAACCAATAGATCTGTTTGGGAAGTGCAGCCAGAGTGCTTCTTAGAGGCCAAGATGGCCAAACTTGGTCTCTCATACTTTGGACATATTGTCAGGAAGGACCAGTCGCTGGAGGAATATCATGTTTGGTAAGGTGGAGTGTCAGAGAAAAACAGGAAGACCCCCAACGAGATGGATTGGCCATGTGGCAGCATCAATGGGCTCAAGCGTGGCAACAGGAGTGAGGTTGGCCCAGGATCAGGCAGTTTTCCATTCTGTTGTGTATAAATAAGGTCTCTATGGGTCGGTACTGACTCGATGGCACCTAACAACAACAACCATTTGGTGTTAAGATTTCAAGGGGTATTTTTGGTTTAAGGTTTATAGATGATCTCAGGGCAGCAATTTCAGGAGTTCATCCAATCTTGACGTCTCTAAAAGGTTTAGAATCCATGAGCATTTGAAATTCTGTTCTGCATCTCCCCACTTTTGATCAGGATTCTTCTGTGGAATCATTGATCTGGCTGTTCAGTCATGGTAGTGGAGCACCATCCGCTTCTCGTGTCTAAGGCCATGGAGGCAGTTGTCACGTGTTCCATATCCTGCTCTGACTCACCCCCTTTCTCTCGTCTTAGATGAGTGCTGTGGGGGGCAGTGTTTTAACGGTACTTCTGTCCTGCTTTCTGCTTCCCCTACAGAAAATCTGATTCTGCTGTTATGTAGCTCCTCAGTCCCTGAGGGGGGATTGGTGCCAGGACCCCACACAGATGGGCCAAGTTCCTTGTATTTATGCACATATAACCTATCCACATCCTCATGTATACGTTTAAATTCCTTCTAGATTACTAGACTGCTAACTGCAAGGTCAGTGGTTCAAACCCACCAGCTGCTCC